AGTGCCCCATCATTGGTGTCAGTGGGAGGAATAGTGTCCCATCATTGGTGTCAGTGAGAGGAATAGTGCCCCATCATTGGTGTCAGTGGGAGGAATAGTGCCCCATCATTGGTGTCAGTGGGAGGAATAGTGCCCCATCATTGGTGTCAGTGGGAGGAATAGTGCCCCATCATTGGTGTCAGTGGGAGGAATAGTGCCCCATCATTGGTGTCAGTGGGAGGAATAGTGCCCCATCATTGGTGTTAGTGGGAGGAATAGTGCCCCATCATTGGTGTCAGTGGGGGAATAGTGCCCCATCATTGGTGTCAGTGGGAGGAATAGTGCCCCATCATTGGTGTCAGTGGGAGGAATAGTGCCCCGTCATTGGTATCAGTGAGAGGAATAGTGCCCCATCATTGGTGTCAGTGGGAGGAATAGTGCCCCATCATTGGTGTCAGTGGGAGGAATAGTGCCCCATCATTGGTATCAGTGGGAGGAATAGTGCCCCATCATTGGTGTCAGTGGGAGGAATAGTGTCCCATCATTGGTGTCAGGGGAGGAATAGTGCCCCATCATTGGTGTTAGTGGGAGGAATAGTGCCCCATCATTGGTATCAGTGAGAGGAATAGCACCCCATCATTGGTGTCAGTGGGAGGAATAGTGCCCCATCATTGGTGTCAGTGGGAGGAATTGTGCCCATCGTTGGTGTCAGTTAGAGGAATAGTACCCCATCATTAGTGTCAGTGGGAGGAATAGTGCCCCGTCATTGGTGTCAATGGAGGAATAGTGCCCCATCATTAGTGTCTGTGGGAGGAATAGTGCCCCATCATTGGTGTCAGTGGAGGAATAGTGCCCCATCATTAGTGTCTGTGGGAGGAATAGTGCCCCATCATTGGTGTCAGTGGGAGGAATAGTGCCCCATCATTGGTGTCAGTGGGAGGAATAGTGCCCCATCATTGGTGTCAGTGAGAGGAATAGTGCCCCATCATTGGTGTCAGTGGGAGGATGAGTGCGCGATCATCAGTGCTGGGACATGGTCACCCAGTGCCCAGGGCAAAGAAGCCAAATTGTTCCCTCCCCTTCATTATGTGTGCACCTAGGGGATGCTAGAGCCCCCCCCCCCCCCCCCCCCCCCAGGTCATCCACTTGTCAAAATGCCTTGTATAAGAATGAGCTCACTGGCATGCTATCCATACAGTACACCACTGCACCCAAGGCAGCTGCACCTCCTGGCTGCCCCTTGTCCCAGCCCTGCCCATCGTTGGTGTCAGTTGGAGGAATAGTGCCCCATCATTGGTGTCAGTGGAATAGTGCCCCATCATTGGTTTCATTGGAAGAAATAGTGCCCCATCATTGGTGTCAGTGGGAGGAATAGTGCCCCCCATCATTGGTGTCAGTGGGAAGAATAGTGCCCCATCATTGGTGTCAGTGGGAGGAATAATGCCCCATCATTGGTGTCAGTGGGAGGAATAGAGCCCCATCATTGGTGTCAGTAGGAGGAATAGTGCCCCATCATTGGTGTCAGTGGGAGGAATAGTGTCCCATCATTGGTGTCAGTGGGAGGAATAGTGCCCCATCATTGGTGTCAGTGGGAGGAATAGTGCCCCATCATTGGTGTCAGTGGGAGGAATAATGCCCCATTGCTGGTGTCAGTGGAAGGAATAGCGCCCTCTCGTTGGTGTCAGTGGAAGGAATAGCACCCCGTCGTTGGTAATGGTGGGAGGTATACTCCCCCATTATTGGCATCAGTGGGAGGAACAGTGCCCCCTATCGGCAGGAGGACTAGTGCCCCAGGGGTCAGGTAAAGACTATCAAATGGCTACAGTTTGGAGACCTCAGGGCTATGCCAACGATCCAACTGTTTCTGAAAAGACTCAGGTCTGGTTCACACTAGCACGCAGGAATCCTGCACCCACAATCACCTGCAGCCACAGTGCGTTCCTCTTGCAAGACGTGTGTGGTGCCCCCCCCCCCCCCATGCATCTCGTCCTGCATCTGGATCGCGGGTACGGAAGCTGCACCACGCGCTTTCCCTGTAGTCGCGTTTCGGAAATGGTGCATGCACCTTCTCACGCAGTGAAATGCAGGCACAGCGGCCCACCCGCCCTGCACCGGTGTGACCTGGGCCTTACTTGAGGACAGGTGTAAAGTGGTGAGAATTAATGGCCTCAGTAAGGACCCCGAAAACATACAGCAACCTCCTAAACACCAGCATTATCCCTTCACTTCTCTGATTACTCAAACAGTACAAAGCTGCAACTGACCGCATGCCAGGAAGCTGGACTGACGCATTTTTTGCCGCACACAATAGTCCGCGGTCTAGAACTGACGGTGTATGTTATAGATTTCAATACAATCTCAGAAGACAAAAATCAAGCGTATTTTGACCTTTTCGGGGCGTTGAGGATGCGGCAGACATGATCAGGCTGTACCATTACCATTCCTCTCCTAGTTGATGGTTACTTTGTTAAGTGGAATACTAATGGATGAGGTGAGTTATATTACATGACACTCCAGGTGCTCGGGATTATTTCATCCCTCGGCTGTAATTGAAGCGCTGTGCGCTGGAGCGTGTCCAATTACAGGTGGCGGCGTTGTCGGGGTCTACGATTCGCCCTCTCAGGTTTGCGCCGGCCGTGGACATGTTTCTTATCTCGGCAGGAGACGGCCAATTCAATGACTCTACTCTGAATATGTAAAACCTTCTGTTAATCCATTGTCATTATTTATCTGTAGATGGAGGTCCTGCGTTCTGTGCTGACCCGCGCCCGACACACCGGTTCCGAAAAAGAAAAAAAGGACTTTAATGTAGAATAACAAGATTAGAAGTGGCATTATTACTCCTGGAATCTATACTTATGGATCGGAAGCGAAGGTTTTACAGATAGTAGGAAGTACTAGGGCTCCGGAGATACAGTCATTGGGTGTGATACAATGTAACAACAGGGCGGAATACAAAAAAAACATGGCGCATCAAGAGTGTAAATGAATAAATTGCACATTCACAGATGAACTTTAAATTAAAAAATCAAAATGGTACGGGGTGGATATATTAATGATAGGGGGTGGATACACCAATGGTACGGGGTGGATATATTAATGATAGGGGGTAAATACACCAATGGTACGGGGTGGATACACCAATGGTACGGGATGGATACACCAATGGTACGGGGTACGGGATACACCAATGGGGTGGATATGGGGTGGATACACCAATGGTACGGGATGAATACACCAATGATAGGGGGTGGATACACCAATGGTACGGGGTGGATACACCAATGGTACGGGGTGGATACACCAATGGTACGCAGTGAATACACCAATGGTACGCAGTGAATACACCAATGGTACGGGGTGGATACACCAATGGTACGCAGTGAATACACCAATGGTACGCAGTGAATACACCAATGGTACGCAGTGAATACACCAATGGTACGGGGTGGATACACCAATGGTGAATTACACCAATGTACGGGATGGATACACCAATGATAGGGGGTGGATACACCAATGGTACGGAGTGAATACACCAATGGTACAAGGCGGATACACCAATGGTACGGAGTGAATACACCAATGGTACAAGGCGGATACACCAATGGTACGGGGTGGATACACCAATGGTACGGGGTGGATACACCAATGGTACGGGGTGGATACACCAATGGTACGGGGTGGATACACCAATGGTACGGGGTGGACACACCAATGGTACGGGGTGGATACACCAATGGTACAAGTCGGATACACCAATGGTACGGGGTGGCTACACCAATGGTACGGGGTGGATACACCAATGGTACGGGGTGGATACACCAATGGTACGGGGTGGCCATACCAGTGATAAGGGACGATCCCCGCAGGATGGATGGGATCTGTGGATTGGGGATCTTAATGGATCGGACTCCGATCCATTATGCTCAATCCACAGATCTGATCCATCCTGCGGGGATCGTCGGCTTGCTTTAAAACGTACCTTTTCGTGGAGCGGGTCCGGTGTCATCCCGTGCGATAGGTGTCACGCGCCCCCCCACACCTGCCTAGGGATGGCACTGCGCTGAACAAACTGTTGGCGCTCTATAAATCTATAAATCTCGTATTATAATAATAATTATCTTCTGGTATGTGGGGACTGCAGCTTCAACGAGCGCGTTTGCTCCATCCGGAGACATTTTCCCGCATCAACAATTCACTCACCAAGTCTGATGAAGGCGCAAGTGTGCCGATTGTGAACACATCGTCCGTGACAGCTGAAGCATGAGAACGTAATCCCGCTAATATCGGTAGATGAGGTTTTATTGTACCGCCTGTACATCTCGGTCTGAACATAATAAACCCGAATTGCCTCCAATCAAATTTTTAGTGCCTAATGCTGATGAAGATAAAGTGCCAACAAGTGTCTCATTAGCAGCCCATGAAAGAGGCATTACACGGTCCCTCCGCGCTAATTGCTTCTGAGAAGGCGTTTTGCGCCGTCTTTCCGCGGGTTTTTCGTCAGACGTTAGAACCTGTCTCTGTAGAAAATGACGTTTGATCAGCGTGTTCCCCCGAGGGATGTACACCTGCTTCTGTGACTTTACAAAGCTCATTCCAACAAGGCTCCGAGAAACAAAGAAACTTCACAGACGAAAAAAAAAAAAAAAAAGGGGCTCCATGGTTCTTGGAGTGCCGCGAATTCCTGGCTCTCCATAGAAGCCACCTGTCAGAGAACCAAAGAAGTTTACGGCATTTCAGAGATTTTGCTTTTCTTTGTCTGATCGTTTTTTTTTTTTTTTTTGGAATGATTTGCTGTCTTAACTCCTTCCTGCCCAGCCCAGGATTCCCGTTAAATGTAAAAAAAAAAGCACAAAGATGGGTCAAAATCCTGTAAGGCCGCAGAGGTGGTCAAAATGATGGTGGAGTGTCCAACTGGTGGCATTATATCACCCGGTATACTTGTTTTTATTATGTCACCACAATATTGTTCACAGTATTGAAGCGTTGTATTCTAAGTACGCATATATTTATAATGGTGCCTCCCCCCCCCTAAAGCACACACACATCACTCCCATACTTAAAAAGCCCTCCCTGGACCCCAACGAACTGAACAACTTAAGACCCATCTCCCTGCTACCATTTACCTCTAAACTCTTAAAACACTTAGTCTACAATCGCCTGAGCTCCTCCCTCACCGACAACAACCTTCTTGACCCATTACAGTCTGGCTTTCGCTCACTACACTCCACTGACACTGCCCTACTAAACCTCACTAATGATCTACTAACTGCTAAAACCAATGGCCACTACTCCGTACTCATCCCAACCAATGGCCACTGCTCCGTACTCATCCCAACCAATGGCCACTGCTCCGTACTCCTCCCAACCAATGGCCACTACTCCGTACTCATCCCAACCAATGGCCACTGCTCCGTACTCATCCCAACCAATGGCCACTGCTCCGTACTCCTCCCAACCAATGGCCACTACTCCGTACTCATCCCAACCAATGGCCACTACTCTGTACTCATCCCAACCAATGGCCACTACTCCGTACTCATCCCAACCAATGGCCACTACTCTGTACTCATCCCAACCAATGGCCACTGCTCCGTACTCATCCCAACCAATGGCCACTACTCCGTACTCATCCCAACCAATGGCCACACTACTCTGTACTCATCCCAACCAATGGCCACTACTCCGTACTCATCCCAACCAATGGCCACTGCTCCGTACTCATCCCAACCAATGGCCACTGCTCCGTACTCCTCCCAACCAATGGCCACTACTACTCCGTACTCATCCCAACCAATGGCCACTGCTCCGTACTCATCCCAACCAATGGCCACTGCTCCGTACTCCTCCCAACCAATAGCCACTACTCCGTACTCACCCCGTCCAATGGCCACTACTCCGTACTCACCCCGACCAATGGTCACTACTCCGTACTCATCCCAACCAATGGCCACTGCTCCGTACTCATCCCAACCAATGGCCACTGCTCTACTCCGTACGTACTCATCCCAACCTCATGGCCACTGCTCCGTACTCATCCCAACCAATGGCCACTACTCCGTACTCATCCCAACCAATGGCCACTACTCCGTACTCATCCCAACCAATGGCCACTGCTCCGTACTCCTCCCAACCAATAGCCACTGCTCCGTACTTCATCCCAACCAATGGCCACTACTCCGTACTCATCCCCCTCCTCACCAATGGCCACTACTCCGTGCTCATTCCAACCAATGGCCACTACTCCATACTCATCCCAACCAATGGCTACTACTCCGTACTCATCCCAACCAATCCTGTAGACTTCACCTCCGCAACATCTCCAACCTCCGCAACATCTCCAACCTCCGCAACACCTCCAAGATACGGCCGTTCCTAACCTCGGAAACCACTAAGCAACTTATTCCCTCCCTGGTTATCTCTCGCCTTGACTATTGTAACTCCCTCCTCATTGGCCGACCTCATCGCAGGCTATCCCCTCTTCAGTCTATCATGAATGCTGCTGCCAGACTCATCCACCTTACTAACCGTTCTGTATCTGCCACCCCTCTCTGCTGCCAATCCCTCCACTGGCCCCCACTCAGTGTCCTCCACTCCTCTCTGCCAATCCCTCCACTGGGATCCATTCAGTGTCCTCCACCTCTCTCTGCCAATCCCTCCACTGGCCTCCATTCAGTGTCCTCCACCTCTCTCTGCCAATCCCTCCACTGGACTCCATTCAGTGTCCTCCACCCCTCTCTGCCAATCCCTCCACTGGCCCTCCATTCAGTGTCCTCCACCCCTCTCTGCCAGTCCCTCCACTGGCCTCCACTCAGTGTCCTCCACCTCTCTCTGCCAATCCCTCCATTGGCCTCCACTCAGTGTCCTCCACCCCTCTCTGCCAATCCCTCCACTGGCCTCCATTCAGTGTCCTCCATCCCTCTCTGCCAATCCCTCCATTGGCCTCCACTCAGTGTCCTCCACCCCTCTCTGCCAATCCCTCCATTGGCCTCCACTCAGTGTCCTCCACCCCTCTCTGCCAATCCCTCCATTGGCCTCCACTCAGTGTCCTCCACCCCTCTCTGCCAATCCCTCCACTGGCCTCCACTCAGTGTCCTCCACCCCTCTCTGCCAATCCCTCCACTGGCTTCCCATTGCCCAATGGATAAAATTCAAAACATTAACAATAACATATAAAGCCATTTATAACTCCGCCCCAAATTACATCACCAATCTTGTCTCCAAGTATCATCCAAACTGTCCTCTCCGCTCCTCGCATGACCTCCTCCTCTCTAGCTTCCTTGTCTCCTCCTCCCATGCTCATCTCCAGGACTTCTCCAGAGCTTCCCCCAACCTCTGGAACTCTCTACCCCAATCTATCTGTCTATCGCCTACTCTGCTCACGTTGAGGGGATCTCTGAAAACCGATCTCTTCAGGGAAGCCTATCCTGCCCTCAGCTAATAATGGAATCTTCTACTCCTCCTACCAGTCCATCCCCCACAGTTACTACCTTTTGTACCACCAGCCCCTCCCTCTTAGATTGTAAGCTCCCAGGATCAGGGCCCTCCTATCCCTCTTGTATTGAACAGTATTGTTGCTGTATTGTCTCCCGTTATATTGTAAAGTGCTGAGCAAACTGTTGGCGCCATAAATCCTGTATAATAATAATAACATAAATCCTGTATAATAATAATAATATTTGCACTATCCGTGTAATCATTTTTTTTATTATATATTGTTTTAACTAATTGTTGATCCAATGAATAGCCGATTGCCTCTTGGGGGATCAGGAAGGAATTTTTTTCCCCTGGAGGAGCAAATTGGATCGTGCTTTGCTGGGTTCTTTTTTTGCCTTCTTCTGTATCAACCCATATGGAAGAGAAATATATTTTCAATATATTTAGAAAAAAAAAAAATGATACATGCGACCTATATTTACAATATATTGGCCTACACAAATATATTTTAACGTATTCCGAAAACGTAAATTAAAATATATTTTCCAAAGGCATTTATTTAAAAATATATTTTTTCTAAATATATTTTCCAGATAGTTTTTAATATCTAAAAAAATGAATTTAAACATAGATTTTTAAATATAATTGTAAATGCATTCCAAATGACACTTTGATATATATTGCAGCATGTGTTCTGAATATATTTCTAATAATATATTCACAAATATATTGAAATATATTTTTGAAATATATTGAATACGGCCAAAATTGTAGTATTTGAAATATATGTCAATATATTTGGGAAGAATATATTATTTTTAAAATATATTTAAAATATATTTTTCTTCCATGTGGGATCATAACTTTTTTTTTCTAATGGTTGAACTAGATGGACTTTTGTCTTTTTCAGCCAGACTAACTATGTAACTATTTAGATTGTAAGCTCCATGAGCAAGGCCCTCATATTCCTTCTGTACTGAACAGTATTGTTGCTGTATTGTCTCCCGTTATATTGTAAAGCGCTGAGCAAACTGTTGGCGCCATAAATCCTGTATAATAATAATAACTATTTCCTATGATCCCCTCCCACTTTGTGTTTGAGGGGAGGGGCCTTGTTGTAGGCTTTACTGGTTACACCGGTACTGGTTATATAGAGTAGCCCACATGGAAGAAAAATATATTTGAAATATATTTTTAAAATAATCTTCCCAAATATTGACATATATTTAAAATACTACAATTTTGGCCATATTCAATATATATATAAAAAAAAAAAAAATATATATATATATATATATATATATATATATATATATATACACACACAAACATATATATATATATACACACACACAAATATACAGTCAGGTTTTCAGGTCCATAAATATTGGGACATGGACACAATTCTAACATTTTTGGCTCTATACACCACAATGGATTTGAAAGGAAACAAACAAGATGTGCTTTAACTGCAGACTGTCAGCTTTAATTTGAGGGTATTTACATCCAAATCAGGTGAACGGTGTAGGAATTACAACAGTTTGCATATGTGCCTCCTACTTGTTAAGGGACCAAAAGTAATGGACAATTGGCTTCTCAGCTGTTCCATGGCCAGGTGTGTGTTTTTCCCTCATTATCCCAATTACAATGAGCAGATAAAAGGTCCAGAGTTCATTTCAAGTGTGCTATTTTGCATTTAAGGAATCTGTTGCTGTCAACTGTCAAGATGAGATCCAAAGAGCTGTCACTATCAGTGAAGCCATCATTAGGCTGAAAAAGCAAAACAAACCCATCAGAGAGATAGCAAAAACATTAGGCGTGGCCAAAATAACTGTTTGGAACATTCTTAAAAAGAAGGAACGCACCGGTGAGCTCAGCAACACCAAAAGACCCGGAAGACCACGGAAAACAACTGTGGTGGATGAGCGAAGAATTCTTTCCCTGGTGAAGAAAACACCCTTCACAACAGTTGGCCAGATCAAGAACACTCTCCAGGAGGTAGGTGTATGTGTGTCAAAGTCACCAATCAAGAGAAGACTTCACCAGAGTGAATACAGAGGGTTCACCACAAGATGGAAACCATTGGTGTGAGCCTCAAACACAGGAAGGCCAGATTAGAGTTTGCCAAACGACATGTAAAGAAGCCTTCACAGTTCTGGTCTGGAACAACATCCTATGGACAGATGAGACCGACATCAACTTGTACCAGAGTGATGGGAGGAGAAGAGGATGGAGAAGGAACTGCTGTATGGTCCTAAGCATACCACCTCATCAGTGATCATGGTGGTGGTAGTGTCATGGCGTGGGCATGTATGGCTGCCAATGGAACTGCTTCTCTTGTATTTATTGATGATGTGACTGCTGACAGAAGCAGCCGGATGAATTGTGAAGTGTTTCGGGAATATTATCGGCTCATATTCAGCCAAATGCTTCACAACTCATTGGACGCTTCACAGTGCAGATGGACAATGACCCAAAGCAGACTGCAAAAGACACCAAAGAAGTGGAATGTTCTGCAATGGCCAATCACCTGACCTGAATCCGATTGAGCATTTCACTTGCTGAAGACAAAACTGAAGGGAAAATGCCCCAAGAACAAGCAGGAACTGAAGACAGTTGCAGTAGAGGCCTGGCAGAGCATCACCAGGGATGACACCCAGCGTCTGGGGATGTCTATGCGTTCCACACTTCAGGCTGTCATTGACTGCAAAGGATTTGCAACCAAGTATTAAAAAGTGACAGTTTAATTTATAATTATTATTCTGTCCCATTACTTTTGCAGTCCCTTAATAAGTGTGTCCGGCACATATGAAAACTCCTGTAATTCCTGCACCGTTCACCTGATTTGGATGTAAATACCCTCAAATTAAAGCTGACAGTCTGCAGTTAAAGCACATCTGTTCATTTCATTTCAAATCCATTGTGGTGTATAGAGCCAAAAATGTTAGAATTTTCCATGTCCCTCTATTTATGGACCTGATGGAGTATATATATATATATATATATATGTGTGTGTGTGTGTGTGTGTGTGTGTGTGTGTATATATATATATACATACTACGGTATATATTGAAATGCGTTTTTATTACAAAATATATGAATAATATTATTAAAAATAGATAGAAATAGATAGACATATAAAAAAAGTAATTTTAACATATATTTTTACATATATTTGTAAATGCATTCCAAAAATGTAGATTTGTATTTTTACAAATTTTATATATATATATATATTTTATATATATATATATATATATATTTTAATATATTTTTGAAATATATTGAATACGGCCAAAATTGTAGTATTTCAAATAGAAGAATATTTTTAAAATATATTTTTTAAATATATTTTATATATTTGAAATATATTATATATTTCTTCCATATGGGAAGGCATGAATAGTAATGATACAATGAGCCGCATGTTATCGAACGCTTTTGTCTGAGACGAATTAGCGGTGGAGTAGGAAGTGGGGTTTCTCAATACATGTTCGGTATCGGGGGGGCGCTGGAAATTTGAGCGCGTACTTTGTTGGTGATGAATAGAGGCGGTGAGCGTGGAGAGAACATGTGCTTTGCGCTCAGATCGCCTTATGGGTGCTCATTATCACAGCACTGCTCTCATCGAACGTCGGAGCAAGAAATCACTCAGAATTTTTAAGACTCGATGGTTAATGACCCCAAATGTATTGTGTAAGCGCACTTTAACTATACGGCGGGTAGAAAATCGCCGGACACTTTTCTAGAGAAGCCGGCGTGTGCCATTGTGTGTATGGAGACCCCGACTGGATAACATTTCACTTTTTACTGCGCACCATAAACAATGAACGAGTTTTTTCTTTTCATTAAATGCGATCTTTGCTTTCTTTTTTATACCATTTCCTCCAAAAAATGTATTAAATTATTGCGCCCTGTGCAATAACTAAAACTATCCAAAACTATCCATCGCGGGTACAATGTTCAATAAACGAATAACCAATCCGACAACTCTCTTTAACCCTCGGGCACCGGCCTTTAAGGGGTTGTAGATGCCGAGAGCTGCTACAAAGCTGCTATTTATTGTATGTCTCAGAGCAGGTGGAGAGCGAAATTGCATGGGGGAAGGGGCAAGAAAATGTTTGCCCAGGGTCCAATCACTATTAACCACTTGCC